GAAAGGACCGTAAATCTGCAGGCAACGAAAACCGCCTGTGATTATGGCCTGGACAGTCGTGCCCGCAGCAATAAACTAAATATGACGACATAATTATTTAATCGTTTACTATAAAACGGCCCAACTGACTGTTTAATGCTTTATCAGACAGTATACATTCCTAACGTGATTATATGTAGTATATATATAATAACAATCTGTTGTAGATATTGTTTAACCTCTTTTATTATACTGAATTGTATAATTATATTATAGTATAATTGTAACACGTGTTGCTAGCGAGTGTACTCATACGATCTGAACTACTCTCTAATACATTAAGCAGTAAAAATCTTACGAAAAACAAGTACTTAATCTTTTATTTGAGATATTTTTGTTATACCGATAGACAAAGTCAACATTGAATTCCTGAAAGAAAGATATTTAAAATAATTGGACAAACATTACAAAGAAAATTGTAAACGTACCGGAATACTTAATACAGACTAAGGGAACAAAGTTGTTAACTTGAGCTATAAGGCCAAAGATTGTAAAAACTCAAACCTTGATTATTAACTAACATTAGACCGAGCCAAGGTTACCTTTCACATCAAAACCAGGTTATACAAGCAATATCCGCATTCAAAAACACCAATAAATATACTTAAAATATAAATCTTTTCAAACATAAGGGCAACGGCGTTCAGATATTTAATTAAAACATTTACTTCGGTTGAAAAATTAATTAGCTCACAAATAAGTGTTTACTAAATTTTATGTTACTACAAGGTCGATAAGTGTTTATGGGTCACAATAAGTCTACAACACCAGGCCAAGGTCAGCGAAACGGCTCACGTAGAAAACTGAAGTTAAATTATGAAAATTGGTCAAGTTCGCATGTGTTCACGGCTTAATCTCAGAGTGCAATTTACTAATTGCATTTAATGCATGCAGCATTCGTTGTTACTTGAAGACATCCAGGCACATACTTGAACATCTTAAATTTAAATCCAGCATCATCGGCATCTGCCCATCAATCAATTTCAATGGCTGAAACTCAGCCTTTCTATAGTTATAACAGTTTAGACCAAAATCGTGTTGGCAGTTGGTTCTGTCGTGGTTGTCTCATGATGTACTCTTGAATGCAGAACTTATGCTATCATAGTTGTTATTGTTGAAATTGTAAAACATGTATATGGGCTTACAAAAGTTATTTTTGTGTTGGATAAGGTAAGAAATCTCTGAATAGAATATATAATGTTTTAATGATAACGTTTTCCTTTTGCAACTTAGTTTTTCATTTTTTTCATTCTCTACACTACACCGGACATTCCTATTTAGACTGGGTTATTTTATAATATATGATATAAATTTTAACTTAATGTTTGTAGTTTAATCTGAACATGTATTATAAATAAATCGTAATCCCATACTCCACATTAAAACTTGTCAGATACATGCTAAACTGCGCAATCGTGTTAACATATTGGACCATTAGCCTTTAGAATCAATCGTTTAAACGCCCTTAATCTGTTTCAGTTCATTAAACACGATGAGATATGTGACGGCGGATTCCGACAGTCACGCTGACGCCTACCAGACATTTACGAATATATATAAAGTGAAGTTAATTTTATAATTAGACATGTTTATTTTGATAAAACCATAGTATCAATTTTAAGGTTGCTTAATGCTGTTAAATTGCTTCCGTGGCTCAATGGTTAAACTCATTGCGTTAGTCGAAACGGTCCTGGGTAAGAATCCTGAATTGACAGAAATTTAACAAGGATGTAAATTAAAATGACGAGTGCAATAGATTTAGTAATGTGTTGGGCCTGTACTATGTCATATTCATGATACATGAACATTTCCCACCCACACCCAGCATTCTACAAATAAACACTTTAAGTTTTATTATAATCATAATATTGTAATTGCTTTCAAAACGAAAACAGATATACCCTTAACTATACAAATATGCTATTTCATAGACTTAAATGTTGTATGAAGTTAATAATAATAACATAAAAATAATCGGTATCTGATCGGAAATTTCACGCCAGAAACCGGTAACGTGAGAATAGCCTCGGAAACAACTTAGTTCCCAAGTCGAGATTTACGGATTCGAAAAATTGATCACATTTATAGAGCAGTTCAACTTGGCAGGAACTTCAAAACTATGTAACGTCCAGAGTTGTGAAGAATACAATCTCTAACTTTTCCATTCAGTTTTATATCGCTTATATTGCCCTGCGAGTACTATAGACAGATATAAATATTTTAAGCGTGATTCTTTTAACTCAGCAAGGCTCCATAAGCGAAGAAGTGTTTAACCGTGTTTTAAGTAAAAATAGTAATAATAAATTGATTTCAAAATTGTTTCTCAACAAATGTTATAGTCAACATACATCTGTTTATATCAGTAAAAGTGAATAATTATATTTAATGCTTTGAATCCTTTTTAAAATATATAAGTATATTGATATATGTTTCAAATTTATCAATAATTAATTTGAAAAAGTTATAAAATTTAGATTGGCTAAAAAGGCGTATGGTATGACAAGCCCGTCTGGCAGTAATATGAATTGATCCTTAGGTGAATAAATTCACAACAATGCATTAGTTTATAAGACATGGTAAACTCGGACTTAGTTTCTTGGGTGTTCGTCTCAGTTATGTCACACTTTTGAACACTCTGTAAAATCACTACGAACAGACAAACAATTTTAAAGAATCTACTTAAATAATTTTTAAAATTTTAAAGAGAATAAAATATATTTTATTTTATGTAATCTATAGTCAACAATATTTATCATATTACCTCCTAAGTAGTATGATAAATATTATAAAGCTACCATGTATTAAAACAACAATATCCGATAAAAGTTGATGCTATCAATGGTAAAAAAAAAACCCAAAATAAATATTCTATTATGTTTTTATTGGATGGAATGTATCTAAGAATGAATAATGTTTTAATTCAAGATACCTCCATACATATGTACTTGTCATATACTAATTAAAAAAATATAAATACTTACAAATAAGTGAAAGCAAAAAGTTTTATTATTAAAACAGTATTACAATTATGTTTAAATTTGACTCTTACTTAACTTTCATGTAGGCTACTTTCACTTTCTATAATCACTTTCATTGTGTCCATAACTGTACTGGTTTTTATCTTAATTATATAAACCTTTAAATTACAATCTCTATCACATTTATATAGGTACCTAGTGTATACTTAATATAAAAATAATTTTGAAGGATTATCACACATCACATGTTTGTTTTTTTGATACATTGTATAGCTAATCCATATATAAAAACAAGATATTTTTTATAATAATGAGTTTAAATAATTTGTTTTGTACTAACAACAAGAAAACATTGTTACTATGGCATGATGACAAATGGGTGTATAGACTTAACACATACTATTCATAATACAAAACATGTGGCAACAACTGATAGAACTGATTCTATATTGTTTGTAGTGAAGACTTGAATGAATCAATAATTATTGTATTATATTGTACAGGAGGACCACCAACCACAGGTTTTGGTTCGGTAAGGCAGTTTAAATCACAGGAAATCAATTAGAATGGACACAGGCATCATTATCCCCCGTGCCCAACATACTGCATATGAGATTCTACACACAAAATCTAAAACAACAGATTTTAGTAAGACTTTATTATATGTCTAAGTGGGTATACACATAGTATACACAATTAATCCAATAAGATAATTATTAGAATAATTTTCAATACAAGTGACAAAAAAAGAAAATATTCATACAATAATATATAAGGACTTAATATTTCCGCTACTGTTACTTCCTTAATATCAAGAGCAAACAACTTTCGCCGTAGTAAAGACTAGTCACGACCTCACATTATTCCTGCGCGCGCGCACAATACCACCTCACCAACTTGTTGCGAATTTCATAGTTCCAGTTATTTTATCATTACGCAAGCCTTGTATCGGCTACTAAGAGCACTAATAAAAAATCTTGCTAACATTATTTGAACCAAAACACTTTAACGATACTAAAAACTGTAGTAGTCGATAATACTATCGTAAATTAACTACAGACTAATACTAGCATTTTAGAAGTCGAATTTAATAACGAAACGATAAAAACTAACTACTCACCGTTTATGTTTATCACACGAAATCCCAAACAATATAAATTCTGTCACTAACACAAAACACAGACTTATTCACCTCTTGACATCTGACATGATTTAAATAAACTCAAGTATCACAATGAAATCTCACTATCAAAACCTGTATTAAAAGTTTATAATTTATATACAATATACTGTAACAAAACGATCGTAAAATAACAATATTGTACAAAACATAAACAGCCGCCTACTTTGACAGCAACGTCGAGCAAACTGACAGAACGTCGACAGATTACAAGTAAGATGCTGATGTTACCATTTTAAAAAATAAAGTTGGTTTCACATTTTATTTTACATAATATTGCATTTTAAAATTTAAAGGTTTTGTTTACTCAATGTCTATAGACGGTAATAATATATGATGGCTGTCTCTATATAGCCATTATTTTATCATATTGGTAGGTAAGTTAATTAAAAAAACAAACAACTTGCCATTTAATATCTGGCGAAAAATTGTACATAAGTAAGCTTTTAATGACGCATACAAAAAGCTTACACATAAATATGGAAACAGTTATAAGAACATTGATATATTTCCGAGTTATTCCTCCTTAACCTATCTTATATAAAATGTATGATTCGTTATAAAAAGTACAACATTTCTAATGCTTGATATTGTCTGTCGCTATCGAAGATGTGAACCGTCAACTAGTCACGTCAGCAATATCGATAAGTCAATTTCCAATCTGTCACTGAGATTGCGTTTTAATGTGTCTATTTGTATTTTGTCGTTTTATCGAAAATACACCCATAAAAGTTATAAGGACAAATTTATTGTTTAGTGCGTAGTGAACAACAATTAAGCTGGCATTCTTAGATTAAATAAAAATGTCTAACTTTGAAGACAATCCATTTAGTGATCCTGCCATAGACAATCCTTTTGCCGTGAGTAATCCCTTCTTGGAAATGAATTAGAGTTATTATAAGGATTCTCAATTTCGCAATCTTTACTGCAGGATCCTGCTGTACAGCAAGTAGCCAGAAACACTAGTTCTGCAACACAAGGTCTTGACGACTACAACCCATTTGATGGCCAGCAAAATGCTAATCAAGCTACGGTAAACTGAATACTAGTTTTTTTAGGTGTTTCGTGGGTTGATACGCCGACTTAATCAATCGAGTGCTCATCGATGTGTGATAAACATAATCTGAAAGTTGTTTATGTGAAAGTAATAACTAGTAGATGTAAACTGACTTGCCCACATTAATTTCTGATGGATGAGCCTGCTTTTTATATTATCATAACTATTCACAATTTTGTTAAAATTCTAAATAGTTGTGACAAAAATGAAAAGCAATGACTGTAATATTCCACAGTATTTATATTAACTTATTGTGTATATACATTTTAAAACCCAATGAGTCATATAGACGCATGTATTAAATAAAATAAAAAGCCTGGTTTTAAACAAAATAAATATGAACCCCACTATAATTGATAAGTTACAAAACACTCAGAAAGCCTAAGTAAGCCTTTTATGGTCAACATTTAAATAGTACATATATGTTTTTGTGAAAATGCCATATATTCCTCTAATTTTAACCACTAATTTTTACTTTCCAGGTACCACAGCAGCCAACACAGCCTGCAATTATGCAGGCAGTGTCACCACCAGCTGGGGGGCAGTACACAAGACCTGGTCCTACTTCTCAAAACCAAGGTCCACCATCAGACTTTACTACAGCAGATTTTCAGGTATAATTAGTGATACTCACAATTATTATTAAAACTATTGGTATAATAACACTAACTTTGCATGATTAACTACTCATCGATGACTATGTACGTAACTGTACATCTAAGGCTACACACACAAAATGTGTTAACAATTAGAAAGGTTTTAAATTTATAGAATAAAATACACTATATATATTATTTTTGTATGTGTTAAATTATTAATATATTATTTTATGTTTTGCACCTCACAAGGAGTTGAAGGTATTGTTTCACTACATTTAGTACATATATCAATAATATATTATCATTATTAATCACCATTTCTGCTTTGCCTTATCATTTTATCATGACGTCTAGAAAATAAGTTTGTTTATAAATAAACATTATTGAAAAATTTGAAGAAAGCAGTCTCAGTGTAGATCCCTCATTTTTTTTCCCTAGCTTATCTATTCTATATATACATTATTAATTTGTCATCTGCTAGATTGGCTGAGCAAAAGAAGATTTAAGATTATCATTGAATTGATTGAAAAATTGGTGTTATATAAGAGTGTCTTTATTAATGCATCCTTTTCTATACATTATTCATCCAAAGTTGTTTCTTGAATCACTACTTAAATAATATTACCGCAAGACCTCTATATAAATGAATCACCTAAATGTAAACTTCAGAAACGTCAAGAGGAATTAGAACGTAAAGCAGAAGAACTAGCCAGACGTGAAGCAGAATTAAGAGCAGGGTCAGCTGGTCGAAGAAATAACTGGCCTCCCCTACCTGCATTTTGTCCTGTTCAACCATGCTTCTATCAAGACATCAATGTGGATATTCCTCTTGAATTCCAAAGAGTTGTCAGACATCTTTATTATTTGTGGATGTGTAAGTTTCACAAAAAATTATCACTTAATGTAATTCTGATAAGATTTTGTAATATTGGCATTTTACCCTTTTGGTATATATAAATTTAAAGCATTTTTTTATGCTCATAAGTCATAACATCCGAGTTTAAGCACATTCACTAATTAATTAACAATACTAATAGATTATCATTAGTAATTGTTACTTTTACTTAACGTAAATTATTTCTTTTTGTTTCAGTTCACTCGCTAGTTCTAGCCTTGAATATTGTTGGAGGAATGGCACTGATGTTTACTGATCAGGGTCCAACACTATTTGGATTATCTATATTGTACTTTGTGATGCTGACACCATTCAGCTTTATATGTTGGTATAGACCGATATATAAAGCATTCAGGAGTGACTCATCTTTCAATTTTATGGTCTTCTTCTTCATATTTCTGTTCCAAATACTCATCACTGTCGTCCAGTCTATTGGATTCCTCGGCGGAGGCTCGTGGTGAGTTTTCTTTTTGTTATTTAAAATATACATAATATTTTTCCATGTTATTAATAAGATAGTTCGTCTTTCAATAAAAAAAAAATGTCACACCCTAATTACTGATATTTTTTTTTATTGTATTTACAGTGGCCTTATCACTAGCATTGAGGCTTTTGGAAAGAACGTGGGTTCCGGCGTCGTCACTCTGATTGTCACCATTGGCTTCATCACCTGTGTTGTTGCGGACGTTCTGCTCATAACAAAGGTCTGAATATTATTAATATGCATGAAAGTAAACACTAAGCATGTTAACAATGATCGGAATAGATCCATACAATGATATATATTAAAAGTTCGAATTAATTCAGGTCCATAATTAGAGACTATTTCAAATACATATGTACAAAATTTAAATCTGCCATTTTTTCTGCCAAATTCCTTATTACAGGGTAGGCGAAGGTTTATGCATCAATGTGCCATTTTTTTAAAATGTTTATTGGGGTCATTACCGTGCCGTGAAATAATCTTGACTTTCAAATTATTTGTAAAATAATAATAATAAAAACTTTAAAAAAATGTGTTAAGTAGGTAACTTAACACATTTTTTACACATGTTGTATGATCTGCGACGTGCCTAGAATATAAAAAAAATAAGTGTCGTCCTGTTGGTTTGCCTACCCTGCCTTAAGTACGTCCATTTTAAAGCTTAACACAACGCATAAAATAGGTTCACCGTATCTACCGTTCGACCGGCGCGTCTCTAGCGAAGGCACAAGCCGAGTTCACAACGGAGATCCTGCGAAACCAACACGTACAGACCGCCGCTTCGAACGCTGCTGCCGCCGCTGTCAACGCTCAGATAAACGCTAACGCCAATAGATATTAACAGGTAAGTTCAGATAGAATTAGGTTGTTAAGAATCTTATACATTTCAGATAGAAAATAGCTCTTAAAATGCCCTTCTTCAGAGGCGAACTTTAGCTTAGCCGGTAGCAAGACAATTTTTTTACGTCTCTATTGTACCATAAGAGTACGAAGTTCTTTCTACCTAAAATAAACCTAAGAAGTTACTTTCGCTACATGGGGACTTGGTTAGTTAGTTTATGTGTAAAAATCACTTGATCTTCAATCAGTTGTTAAACACAGTTGTGGTTTTGCCACACTTATTTGCTATATACAAACAATCAATATAATAACAGTAATAAACAGTAGTAGCACTAGTTAAATATTGTAAACAAAATATGATATTTTTTCCCATTGCAGATTTAGTGACACTATCAGCATTTAAGACCATGGCGTGAAAAGTACATACATTATTTATTTGTAAATCAATATTCGATTGTATTATATATTACTTGAAATATATATTATATACCAACTATTTAATCATTCTGAGTGCACATTTAGATAATTTTTAAATGGCCAGTGCGAAATAGAATTTAAGTTAACCTGTGCATATTAACTATACTGTTATTGCCTTGTAAATAGCAAGGATTAACCATCTTTTATATCTTAAACGCAAATGTTGCCAAAACTCAGCACTTTTACTGTTATTTAGCAAAAATTTCTGTATGTGCACTCGGTTATCTGTAGAGAAATACTAAAAATCTAAGTGTTAGTAATAATGCATTATGTATGAAGGCTTGTTATGATAATTTTTTAAAGATTTTGTTAGGCACGCTCGTTAACAATATTATTCACAGTTATCCAGAAATGGGAAATAATTACTTAAAATTTATAATTATTGTTATATAAATTCACGGTATCCTTACCTACTTTCGGGAACTTCTAATGATCATCCACAGTGGAGAACAAGCGCGGGGTTACAAAATATTGAAACAAACATGTCTTGCGCGTGAGTTCCGTAGCCTTGTTAACAAGTCGACCTAATTATAGAAATAATAAACCTTGCCGAATGTCAACAGCACATTTTCATAACTTCTATTGGGGCATATTTTACCATCGAGTCATCACCGCGCAAGGAGTCTTTCTCTATTAAAAAAACCCCTTTTTTTTTTTCCCAAGACCCCCCCTGCAATCACTGATTCCCTATATTTATTCATCAAAACGTTAAAAATTCTGCGCGTAACCCGGAAAATGTTTTAATTTATTGCTAGATTTATTTTAGAACACATGAGCTTAAGGACGCTTTAATATGTAAGAACTCCCAAATATCTCGCTGCATTTCTGAGGCAAATGATTTAATTATATCTACGTAATATAGCATATTAATTGTGTAATTATCATTAAACGTTTAATAGATACGAATTTAGTTTGTCATCACTCGAAATTTTTAACATTCCACATTGGGTCAGTGTATATATTTTCTAATGACCCTTCACAAACATTATCTTACTATGTTCATGAAGTGTTGTTCTAAACGATTAAATCTCTGCTTGCTGATTATAAAGAAATGTGGACTAAACACTAAAACTAAAGATTTTTTGTCTTAAAAGTATTGTGGAAAATTAAATTTATAATTGGTATTAACATAGCAGTTAAACATTTGCTTTTATAGAAGCTATAGGTATGTGTGTTTGAACCGTTACTTAATTTTGTGTGTGTGTGTAATCTTGCCCTGTGTGTTACTATTAGATATGCACAAGATTTAGTACACATTATTTAATGATAACAAAAACTTACCTAGTCATTTGACTAACGGTTTCGATACATTAAAAAATTCCATATGCCTATTGTATATAAATGGGCAGCTTTTAAATTCAGTACAGTTCAATAAATCTTTAATCAAATGATAGTTAGTTAACTGACATGATATTGGGCTGGGAATAAAGTAAATAAACTGCTAAAATCTGCATAAAATTTGGAAAATTACTTTTAATATATTACTATTACACCAGAAATAAATATAAAACATTACAAACATAGTCTAATTGTTTTATTTTATTCCCAGCTAGTCTAAAACATAAGCTTATAGTACTTTTATGACATTTTATTCATGTATCTGGGCCTAGTTTAATGTAAATTATCATCGGACCGTCCTTACCCAGATAATGGTAAGCGAAGGTGTAGATTTATCTTGATTAACTGTTTTAACGATTAAGTCATGTTATAAACTTATGATTAATGATAATAAATATTATAATTTCTGAACACAACTTTCATTTAGATACTCAAGTATCAAATTTTAAACATATGCATTTATTTAAAAAATTTCAATTTCATTAAAACTTGCATAATAATATCATTCTGACATAAAATCTTGAAAAGGATCTTTATAATATTTCGATTTTATTAGTTAAGTTGCCGTACATGGACAAAAAAATAAAACATATCCCTAGCAAAAAGCATTTTATTTTTATTTACAACTTATACCTATTGGTATGATTGCTTAGCTTAAAAATAGGAATTGATATTAATGTAATTCTTGCAGTATGAAATTGTGTCTTGGCTTTATATTGAAATGAACACACACCATCAGGCATATTGTACTAATGCCACATTTACTTAATCATGGTTAAGTTCTGTCTAACTTCTGAAAATTGCCAACAAAAATCTAGAGGTCTTGCTTTTTGCATTTAGTTACGCGTTATTATACTATATTCATCAGTGTACTGTGCTAGTAACACCCTCTGTGAATCTGGACGCACACGTTGAGAAACGACGTTTAATAACTAATTACTAAGTTTGCGGCGCTGAGGCATGCGCGTGCGCACCTAGACGCGCAGGGTCTTGACTGGGGTAATGTAGAGGTAGTGGTGGTCCCGGAGGCGGAGGAGCTGGGAGCCCTGGAGCCATGCCAGGTGGACCCGGTGGAAGACCAGGAGGCATACCGGGTGGCCCTGGAGGCATGCCTGGTGGCCCTGGTGGTAGCGGTGGCGGACCACCCCACCCACCCCACGGGCCACCATAGTGATGTAAATTGAAGAAGTCGTTGGGGCGATTCGGCGGTGGCATCTGAAAATCCAGGTACATTAAGTATAATGTGTATATTATGTGAGTATGACAAATTAACAATCGCGTTTTCAACCAATTAAGTGTTTAATTGAAATTTTATCTTTACATAGACCTCTCTACTCACTTACATTTATTTTGAGCGCCTGTTTCTAAACCATTTGATTGCCAACGGAATATTGGAATTAAAATTATATTTTTAATTTAATTTTTTAACAAAAATACAAGCCAGAATGAAATATTTACCTGTGGTGGGAATGGATGTAAGTATGCAGGTGGTGGAGGCAATGTTCCTGGCAAACCAGGAACTGGTTCAAGTGGGAGCATTGTGTCAGCCTTGTCACTAATGCCTTGACGTCCTGCACATTTCAAACGGGTTAAAAAAAATTTTGATTTCAATAATTGCATATCAATGCATCCATATTATTTGTTACCTTGTGATTTTCCCCACTTAATAGTCAGTCTTTTGCCTCCAAGCACTAACTTGTTGAATGTCTTATCAGCAGCATGTTCTGCCGAACTTCTTGTTGTGTATTGTACAAAGGCACATTGGGCTCTTGGTACCAATGTCAGTTGCCTAGAATGCAAAGAAATAATAATGTCACTATGTCATGTATATTCTGCCTCCACTAACAGCTAATGAAAGACTAGATTACTTAATTTTCATAAAACAACTTTTAAGTAAAATAGTTCTACCAATTTCACCTCTATAGAAGACATGATGAAATAAAACTTTTCATCATATGTCACACCAAGAAATAAGAATTTCAATACAATGTATGTTTTGTCATTAATTTTACAAAATGCATTCTATATGTATAGATAAATACACAATGGATAAATTACTTTATTAAACAAGATCTATATACTGTTTGTAGTTTACGTGAGTACTTTTACTTCTAAATAAAACACTTCAACAACTTAAAACGCGATATATATAAGTTAAACTTATTTTATAAGCAAAGCATGTGAAACGTCAGGCTGTAGTTAAAAATTAAAATATTTTTCAAATAAGGATAACTACAAAGATAATAGTAATATTTTGTTGGTTTTACCTGATTTCTCCATATTGATAAAAATGGCCTCTTAATTCATCTTCAGTCATATTATCAGGTAAATTCCCAATATACAGAGTTGTTACTGTTCTATCTTCAGGTGGTGGTAGGGCTGGCATAGCAGCTGCACGTCTCATCAATTTCTCAGCTACAGGATCATTGACACCATAGTATCTATAAAATACAGTATAATACTTATGCATTGACATTTACAGATTATATATTAAAAATTAATGTAAGGGACATTAAACCAAACTTGAAAAAAGTAAGTAGATAATCAGTGTTACACACACACAGTGTGTGTGTCAGTTTGTAACACTTACTTAACAGATAAACCTAGGAAAGGGTTAATATAACAATAAGAATGGTTATAATAGTTTAAATCTGGCTTAAATGGTATTAAATATTTTACCTATCCTTAATATTCTGATCAGCAAGAGGATCATCAGGGTCTGTCGGTTTTTCATGACGATATGGACACTCTTCTCCCCTCCTACATTCTCCTTTTACCCAAAATGAACATACATGTGGCCTATTCCTTTTATAATATGGTGCAGTCCGTGCTAGCCTTAGCAACATGTCAGAAGCACCTTTCGATTTTAAAGCAGAATTGCTAGGTTGTGTTGGATCAAACTTAGACATTTGACTATCTAAGTTTTGAATATAATACTCCTTATTTACTTCATTTTGAGGTAGATCATCTTGAATTTTTAGAGCAGCATCTCTCACTTGTATAGGTAGACCATACTCTAAATCAAGAAGGCATGTTTGACAAACATTTTTTAGTTTAGAGCATGTTTGACAGATTTCTGTCTTCTTAAAACGCATTTTAGCCCCAGGACACCAACGGAAAACAGTGAATGGGCGTATGCAAATTTTGCATTCTTTACCATACTTCTCTTTAGTCTGCAATAATAAATGAATCGTAAATAGTTTTTTAAGTATTATGAGGGCATGTAAAAAATAGTAATTTAAAACTTACCATACGAATATAAGGGTTGTCTCCAAGACATGTCTGGCACAAAATCGGGAAATCCTGAAAATTTGGGATATAATTTAGTCGTAAATTAGATTTTATTTTAATTGTACTGAACTCAAAAATTGAATTAATTCTTCATTTAAATGAAATACTTACCGAATCTTCCCAATTTTGACGATTATATGTATTCGTCGATTTTGACATAGCCATTTTGGAAGGTTATGTTATAAAGAGTGTTGTATACAAGAACAATTTTATTCCGCTGTTTCAAAGCAACATAACTTTTAAATTTAAAATATTTAGGACACTTATAAATTACGTTGCATACTATTAAATTTTATCAAATATTAACACTATGACAAAGAGCTTTAACGTCGCCATTTGTTTTACAGTTTACCTTTACAATTTACTGGCTTAATTTGCATTTTAGTCTATAGTTACGAGTTTACGACCATAGAGTATATATGAAGTAAAATAAGAATTAACCACAGCATGTACGTAGTTATATTTCTGGCGTTTGCAGTCTGCTTTCTGTTGGCAAATAAACTTGTATTTTATTTTGATTTGTTTTTAAAATTGTTATTTGTAATTACGGTAATATTATCGTATGGTTCTAATTTGCAGCTGTAGTAATTGAATATAATGTCAATAACCACTCTTGTAAGTTATAATATTATTATCTCTATTACCGGTAAGAGTTGGCGACTGCAACAACATCGATCTTTATGTTTATTTTCAGTATTATTTACAATTGAAAAAGGAAAATGCACATGAAGATTCTATCTGGTGTTGTGGATGGAGTCTAATAAAGCCAGAACAAAAGAAAGGAGAGGAAGCTGAAGAAAACCACGAAAACTCACAGTTAGTAGAACTTAACCTTTAATATTTGTTTAATTGATAGGTCCACAACTCTTAGTTATAATTCGTCAAAAGAAAATTCTTTATCTATTTATAGGGACTCTAATCCAGATGCAGAATCACCTAAGAGTTATATTATTACGGGAGGTTTAGACGATGTGGTGAAGATTTGGCATCTGGAAGATGGAAAACTTGAAATAAAACATCAACTTGAAGGCCATTCCTTAGGAGTTATATCTATTGCTGTTAGTCCCGATGGAAAAAGTAAGTTTTATTGTAGTGACAAATCCAACAAGCATACTTTTTTCTATGATAGAGGAGGACATACAGACATGGGTTTCATCAGTTCTCAACATGGGGTTTATCACAACCTCTTCATTATAAGCCACATTTTGTACCATTGGACCAATGAACTTGGTAAACAATACAAACATACAAAATATCTTTTTTGTTAATAGCTTTAACTATTATTGACTTCTGGGCGTTTTGATTGATTGACTTTTTTTTATATAAGCATTGGTATTTTTTTCTTTTTCATATAAAAAATTTCTCATTAAAGCTTTAAAATATTTGTGTTTTTTTTTAGCTTTAGCTAGTAGTTCACAAGATGCAACTCTTATATTATGGGACATACTTACTGGCGAAAAACTTAAAACAATGGAAACAGGAATGACAGATGTGTGGACTCTAGACTTTTCACCTGATGGAAAGAATGTAGTATCTGGAAGTAATGCTGGAAAGATTTTGATTTTTTCAGTTGAGAGTGGCAAGCAAGAGCAAACATTAGATACAAGGGGTTTTACTTTAAGTGTAGCATATGTAAGTAACTTGTAATACATAAATAATGTTAGCTGTAACCTATTAGATACCAGGTCTCTGACTAAATATCTGAGTAGGCTGTAGTGTGTGTTGTAGTTCTTTTCCACTTGCAGATTTTTTTATGCCCAGAAGATGTATGGACTTACACTAAGAAAAATTTATAATCTTTATTATTTGAATTGAATTTACTTTGTTTGCTCGAATAAATGTACATAATTTTTAAAACAAATGGCAGTTTTCATCAATATAATACACGCAATAAGGATAAAATAAGTGTACTGATTAAAAGGCCCCATAAAACAAGTAATTTTTTTCAAGGTATAGGCATATGGTATTTTAATAAAATCCCTGGTGAAGTACAAACACTGTCCATAAATAAGTTTAAGTTTTGTTAAAACAAAAACTGCCTGGAAAGGGTTATTATAACGTAAATTAATATTTAAATGATAAAAATGCTTGGGGTCTGGAGGAAGCTGCTCTAACAAGGAAGAAAATGTGCATATTAAGTGCATAAGGAATTTTAGGAAATTGTAATAAAACTTGGCAATAAAAAAAAAGTGGCGGCGAGTTTCTTGCCAGTTCTTCTCGTTCCTTTTACACCCTTAACTTGGGAACTGCTAGTAACTGTAAATCTAGAGTTTTAAATTTTTAACTGTTGTGCTGTTCATAAGTGTACTAAGCTACCTACATTAATAAATAATTTGATTAATTAATTAATTGATTTAGTTTGTATTATATTTCTTACAGTTATTGTAGTATAAACATATTTAAAAATCTATTACAGAGTCCTGATGGTAAATATATTGCTAGCGGTGCATTAGATGGAATAGTTAAAATATTTGATGTAGCCCAAGGTAAATTAGTTCACACATTGGAGGGTCATGCCAAGCCTATAAGAAGTCTCTGCTTTTCTCCAGACTCACAACTACTCCTTACTGCATCAGATGATGGGCATATGAAGCTCTATGATGTGTAAGTATGAATGAAATAATTATTCAAATTCAATATAAAATATTTTAGCATTACTAAATCTAGTTCTTATCTTCAATCAGATAAATAGTAAAATAAATAGGAGAAACTTGTATGGTGTGAAAAAAGTAAAATTTTTGCAATGGTACCATTACTGTGAACCCACTAATCTTATTTAATATTTGCACAAGTATTTTGGTTTACACTTATGGAAATATTAAACAAGAGATAGCTGTGCATACAACATCCTTTCTTTAATTTCAGAGTACATGCAAATTTAGCAGGGACATTATCCGGACATGCATCTTGGGTTCTCTCAGTTGCATTTTCCCCAGATGGTAAAAGATTTGTATCTGGTAGTTCTGATAGAACTGTACGCGTTTGGGATCTTGAGAATATGCAATGTCAGCATGTATTTAAAGAACACAGTGATCAGGTATTCTAAATTTTTATCAATTTTAATGTTTTAAACAAAAATGTTGAAATTACAATATAATCTATTTATTTTATTTTTCAGGTCTGGGGAGTAAAATTTAATGCAGAGAGCAATAAAATAGTTTCTGTTTCTGAAGATAAAAGTATAAATATTTACGATTGTCCTTTATAGGCTTAAGCATTATATTTATAAATATAATTTATAAAGTACTTTGTATATTTTTTCCTTACAGTATGATTGAATCCTAGTTGTTTTTTTGTAAATGAGATGTAACTACTAACTAATGAGTACCAGAATTAAAAATAAAAATAATTAATGTCTTAAAATTTTAACAGATTAAACATTACTTAGTATATAGTAGTACATAATTTTAAGCTAGTACAATTTAAAAAATACGAAAAACGTGCAAAAGGATAACAAAATCAAAAAAGGCCCTACATAGCAGCGTTAAATATATCTTAGTATAGCGCAAAATGCACTTATTTCGCAACACCGATCTTTGAATTTCGGAAAAATGTAAGAAATTGTGTAGTTCTAACTTAAAAGCTTCCTTCGTTGTGAACAAAGCAGCTATGTACAGTTTACGACATTGAATTTTGTTAAACACTTATTATTTTATAAAAAAATATTTGCCGTCATGTAGTACCCTGTGGTTGATATACATCTGTGAACAACCATATATTTTATGACATTGTCAACGTCAACCAATATTTGTACAAAATTCTCATTCAACTATTTGTTGTGGATTTGTTTGTTTTCAAATATGGTTAGTTATTTTCTAGTACCTTTCCACGGATAACAAAACGGAGATATTATTTTCATGTTTGCATGAAGTTTGTTGTATTACAATTAATATAGACAAGCTAAGTGACATAATAAATACCTACCTTTAAGTTTATAATGCCTACAGAGACAGCGGTATGTTACAATTAAAAAATAAATTTACCATACATGATATTATAATATAAGGATATGTCGTAATAAGTTTCTAATTTCATTTAGGTTCAGTATTCATTGCTGTCAAAAAAAGAAAATGCACACGAAGACCCTATATACTGCTGTGCTTGGACAAAAATTAAGCCGACTGGCGATTCGCTGTATGAAAAATACTCTATTTATCAAATTCTGAATCATAGCTATATTTGCATTTACATGCTAACTTTAAAACTTATTGTAATTTAGTTGATTGAAGTTTTGTTTTGTTCATTTATATTAACATGTTATGCAAACATTTAAATTTTTTTTTCATATGAATTTTATAGGGAAAAATCACAAGATTATATAGTATCAGGTGGATTAGATGGAAATGTAAAGGTTTGGAGGGTGGCATATAATAAACTTGAGTTACTATATAACTTGCAAGGGCACAGTATGGCCATTGTCTCAATTGCTATAAGCCCAGATGGACATAGTAAGTGTGATAACATTTAGATGTTATGGATAAATACATTCTGCTTTACATCTTATTTTTTCCTATAATTTAAGAATTTTCTTTAAATATAAAAGGATATTTCTGTTAAAACATAGCAGATTTACATACTCAGTCTTTTTAGCAAAGTATATTTCAGTAATGTTATGTATACCATCACTTATCTTATTACCTGATTCTGATAATCAGGTGATATACTCATATCTCTTAGACATATTATTACATTTTTTATTAAATTATGATTTGATTAAGTTAATATAGGTATAGTAATTAAAGTAATCTTTTTAGCTTTAGCTACAACATCCTTAGACTCAGTTTTGATTATATGGGAACTATCATCTGGGTTTAAAGTTCATGAAATAGAAACAAGTGCAACAGACACTTGGAATGTAGCATTCTCCCCCGATGGCAGTAAAATAGTTACAGGTAGTCACACCGGCAAGCTTATCATGTATGATGTTGAAAAGAAGAATGTTGTAAAAAGCCTTGATACGAGGGGAAGTTTTGCTTTATGTGTAGCATGGGTAAGTATACAAAATGTATATATAATGTTTGCGAAAAACAGAACTACAGGCAAATAAAAATGACTCAAAGAATGAATATCAATAAGAATTTTATACTATTAGCCAGAATTATTAAATAAAGAGATAAGAATGCCCAATAAATTTTTGCCTCATTTTATTATTTCAAATCTAATAGCACTGTAAGTTTATATTAATTTTGTAGATAACATAAGAAGAGTCAAATGTGGTCTTTAAACTAGGTTAATTTTGTATGTTATACAGCTTTTTAATTTCAGAGTAAAGATAGCAAATACATAGCAAGTGGTTCTGTAGATGGCAGCATTTGTATTTTTGATGTAGTTCAGGGGAAGCTGATTCACACTATTGATGGCCACACAGAAACTATTAGATCTATAGAGTTTTCTCACAATAACCAACTTTTATTGACCGCTTCAAATGATGGCTTTGCTAAATTATTTAAGGTGTAAGTAATAGTAATTATTAGGCAGGATTAAGATAATAAGAGTTAGAACTAGAAATATTTTGTATAGACAAAGAAGTAATATAGAATATGTTACTTCTGAAAAATTAATGACTATATGAACTTTATCTAGCCGATTATTTCTTAGTACACTATCTCTATGAATAAAGAAGCTATAATTGCAGTGCAAGTGGCGATTTACAATGCAGCTTGAAACTTGAAAAATGGTTGCTAAGCGCGAAATTCTCACTAGATGGCACCCGTGTGGCTCTTGGTACAAGTGACGGCGAAGTTATTATTGCAACAGTGTCAGATCTTAAAGTCCTACATACTTTTCAAGAGCATACAAGCATGGTGAGTTTTATAAGATGATTACAGGTGTTTAATAGAATTTTTTAATACTAATAATATAAGTAATTATGGCCATTATATTTCCATCAGAATAGTATATTATATATATATAGTATATTATATATATATAGTATATTATAGTAACATTACAGCTTTTACCCACTTCGTCCATGTCTAACACAAAAATATTTCAAATTGAACACTAATCTCAATAACTATTACTGACATTAGCACGACAAACAAACAAACACGCTCTTCAGCTTTATAATATCAGTATAGAAGTGTTATTTTTATGTAAAATGATTCGTCATTCTTATTACTATGGTGAAATTTTTTGGACGTTAAAATTATGAAAAATATAAGCTCTTTTGAATTTGGAGTTAATCGCGCGCAGTGTGACAGACACACAATTGTGTTACACGCGTCAAAAGTTATAATACGTATTAATACTTTGTTGTAGGTTTGCGGCGTACAGTTCAACGCAGAAAGCGAAATGGTCGTGTCTGTCGCGAAGGACAGAACGATAAATATATATGGATGCCCGAAATTAACTACTAATAAAAAGTAATAAATTTTAAAATATGGAACAGCTTTCTTATTTTATTGTTTACTTTATTGCTGTTGTATTATATCTTTATTGGAATAGACATAAACATCTTTCGCAACCCTGATGGAAAAGATAAGGTAAAGTAATCTGTTGAAATGAATTCAACTGCGCCAAATTATTAAAGTTATTAATTAGTATCATATTTTCGAATATAACATTTGTTTGTTCATTTCGGTCTATACCTAACAACTTCCTGCTTGTCGTTTTATGATCAACCTCTCTTAATTATAAAACGATAAACTCACTTTAACGAATTTTTTAAAAGCAGATGCTTCTACTAATGAAAGAGGTTCCGAATTCGGCGAACCCAGTACCTATTTAGATATGCTTGTGTACAAATCTCCCCTTAAGCCGGCTTCTTGATTAATTTTTGGCTATAAGCGGATTGACGCACGTAAGGATTTAATATCCTGTGATAGTGGCGATGTATTCAACTCTTAGATAGAACGGGCGGCGCAACGATCGGTATTATACCAGGCATAAGGGCTATCGCACCTATGTTTTCTTACTATAGTTACAATTCTTTATTATTAACTATAAGATTGCAAGTCATTATAAGTGCGGTTTATACTTTAAGATATTATTCTTACTCTTAAAATATAATAATTTTACTACACAGACGGGTCTGGTTGCGCGGGGCTGTTGTCGATGGGTGTGTAGGTAATTGTCTGTTTTTCTTTTATTAGCTTCGTCGTTTCAGTGGTTTAGAAATATATAATCGACTAGCTGAGTCAGCGACTTCGTCCGCGTATAATAATTCTTATATTAAGCATCAAGTTTGTTTTTGCAAACCTCCTGTTGAACTCTATAAATGTAAGCTTTTACTCACGTCTTCACCCGCGTCCCGTCGTTCTTGCAAGTTAATCTAAGAAGATAATCAGTCATATACTGCCGCAGACTATTTTTTAGATAATTTAAAGAGGAATTACATATTTCTTGGGTATCTCGAACCGTTTTCGCAGCGTACGCAACGGAAACCCACAAGTATAAATAATTTTTGTTTTTTACATTTCCCGCTTTTCCTTTGCGCCTATTAGTTACAGCGCAATGTTTTATAGCTTAACGCCTTTGTCGATGAATGGTCTAAACTCTAACCAATAAAAAAAAATCAATTCAGTAGTTCCTGAGATTAGCGGGTTCAAACAAACAAGCAAACTTTTCAGCTTTATATATTAGTATAGATTAGTGAAAAAATGCATATATACTGCATAGTAGATACGTGTAATCAGACCAAATACTGGAAGAGACCGCCCGTAGGGCTCTAGATGGTTTTGTGTGACGAATTATTAAATAAATGTATCTATTTCGTACAGATACCTTATTTGAAGGAAGTGGACACGAGTATGAATTCGATAATCGATATTTCATACATGGTAGCAATATTTTAGATTTTGAAGAACAGCCGCTGGAAGGAAGTGGGTGCTTTGATTCTATAAGAAAATTAATAATACTTTCCAGATAAGTAGGTTTTTAGCGTGTTCTATTCTGTTATAAATATGTACAACTTCGATTTATTCTCATATACAATTTTAATGCTATATCGTTAAATTTTTTTAATGGATACGCTTTTATAAATCACTAACTTGTGATTTGTGTTATGTCAGTTATAGATAAAAATATTTACTACAAGAAATGAAGAAATAATCGGCGAGGAAAGTAATATATATTCAAGTCCTAGTTATAATTAGGTATTGTACTATAATTATAATAGAAATCGCTATAATGTAATCTACATTTATCTGAAATCATTATATACACTTAAATGTTAAAATTAGTTGTAATAATTATGTCCCTAATGGAATGGTGTAGCGTTACTACGATATCTTTGATTTCATTATACATGAAATAGCGGTTGACGGGCATGATATAAGGGCATTTATAGAAAATATTTACATCGGTAGCAACTCAATCGGTATCGGCTTAATTTGTGGGGAATTATGCGGCGGAGCCCGTCGGGAAATCAACTTGACATTCAATTTGGCGCGCGGCACAGATAAAAACCAATCTCTTCATTTTTACCTGCGTTGCGAGAGTAAACGTTGATGCGATGCTGATTTTATTTTTAAATAAATCGTGCGATATTCTATACGCGATGTCACGAGTAAGTCTTGTACGGGAGCCGACGCAGATTGGTATTTTTTGGACGAGGCCGGCTCGTGAATAGGGTTCGTTACTATTGCTGCCCTGAAAAAGGTGTGACGACGGCAATCTGGCGCAGGCACTTAGTTGACAAGCTGCATTGTGTCAAGTGCTGGCCAGAGGCCGGCCGGAGGTATCGCTGTCGTAATCACGGCCGCGCGCCGGCAGCTCGATTCAATGAGATGAAATCACTATGCGGCTTTATGAATAATTCAGGTGTGGTCCGGCGACCCCCACCACCTGCCCCCCTCTATGCATTGGACATTGATAAACTTGTCCGCATATACAGACACAATACGCAATATTCGGCTATTACAGCTCATATTACGATATTACAAATCTTACGACGTCCGTTTTAGTTCGGGCACAAGAAACCTTACCTAACTGCTTCATTGATCGTAATTTACAGGATTAAAACAAAAACATTGCATAAATTCAACAAAATAATTTATTTACAACTAGTCATATTAATAAATAGAACAACTTTATAAACAAATCTAGTTATCATCTAGTGGTGGTAGGAAACGGCGGGGGATGAGAAGGTGACTTGAGTAAGAGCTGGGGCGGCGCTGTAGGCGACCTTGGCTACGGGAGCAGCGTATTGGGCGACTGGTGCTGAGTAGTGAGCAACTGGGGCGGAGTAGTGAGCCACTGGAGCGGAGTAGTGGGCGACTGGGGCAGAGTAGTGGGCTACAGGTGCGGCGTAGGAGACGGGAGCAGCGTAAGCTACTTTAGCGACGGGGGCAGCATATGCGACTTTAGCGACTGGTGCGGCATATGCCACTTTAGCGATGGGGGCGGCATATGCCACCTTAGCGGGAGCCGGGGCTGGGATTGGGGTGCCCTCGTAACGGACGTTAGCGTTGAAACCGTTTTCGTGGTCAGAAGTGTACTCTACAATGCGGTGAACTCCGTCTGGCTGGACCAGAGAGTAGGAGCCGTGGACAGCGTCTCCAGCACGGGATTCCTGCTGTTGTTTGATGTCGCCGGTGTGTTCATCGTGGACTGAGTATTGGAACTCGTAGTGGGCTGGAGCTTCCGCTTCGTAGGCCACCTTAGCGAGTGGCACAACGGGAAGGGCGGATGCCACGGCGGCGAGAGCGAGGACGGCGAAGAACTGAAAAGTTATAAGCAGTACATTAGTAAAATGTATAATGTATGCGGCTTAGTTGTGCGCTACCGAGGGTAGAACACTTTGATCGCCTTAAGCTTATGCAGAAAGACCAGTTATACTGCTACTAAACTAAACGCAAAAGATGAAGAATTATTTTTTAAACAATCTTAAAAATATATTTGTTCAATACCTTAGCTGCCATTGTTATTGGTATGATTGTCGAGGTTTGACTATGATTGTATTCGAGTTGCACCAGTTTTTATACATGAGCATTTCGATCTTGATGGTGACAATTTTCGCCGGAGGCTGTAGGGCGTGCACTAATTAACCAGTTTGCGGGTGAAGGTTAAGAAGGCACACGTAAGTAGATCGGTATGATATGACACAGGCACCTTGCACGACATGACATGTGGTGACAGAAGGCGAGTATGATAGGTGCAAGGTTAAACTTTCAAAACTCATGCGTGTGCTTTTCGGAACTCCAAAGAAATTGACTTTCTACTTTTACCTCTTAACACCAAAAGAATTAATTGTTATAACATACAACACAATTATTCTGAAATAATTGTGTCGGATAATTGTAGGTTATTAGTTAAATAAAAATGTTGTCTTATATTATAACTGCGCCCGCTACTACTTCAGCGTAGATTAGTTATTTTTGGGCACCAACCATTTGTTACTTTCGCTTTATAATATTAGTAAGGATAGATATACTCTCGACGTCATCCGCATCTCGTCGTTTTTAAGTAAACTCAAAAGATTGACATATACTATTTTTTAGATTATTAAAGAGGAATCAATCAATCAATTTTCCCCGTCATTTCCACATTTCCCTTTGGTCGCAGTTTGATATTTTATAGCCTTAAGCTCTTATCGATAAGTGCTCTAATCAATTCAAAAAAAATGTTAATTTCGAACAAGTAGTTCCTGAGGTTAGTGCGTTCAAGCAAAAAAATCTTGAGCTGTTCAATATTGTTAGTACGATTTCTTTCCCTTGTGAATTATAAACATGTGGTTTTCGTGGTCGAAGCCGAAAATTTTGATCAGTCTCTAAAATTCTGTCATGTGTGGCAATGAACTTTACTGTATAATTAATTATACTTTATGAAAGTCGGTGAGGTAAGGTAGACAGGACAATGTGGTGAAACTTAATAATTCTACAACACCAACCAAACCCTTAATTTTTATATTTTTTGTTACTTTTTTTGACATCGTATTCAATACAAACGGGTAACAGATACATATTCCAATTATTTTTTCCATTCTGTTAGTCTTTCTCTATCACATTTAAGCTTAGTCTTTTTTTTCAAGTTTCCTTAGACGTACGTTCCTTAGACACATAATTTCTATCGTTTTATTATGCTTATATTAAGTAGGTTTTAAATTTGCAGGTAGGTACTTGTACTGTGTGTGATTGGAATATAGGTCTTATAACTACCAAGTAAACTTAAGCCGGCAATGTGAAATTCTCTTTTACGTTTCTCCTTTGACCTTTACGTTATTAATATTGATAAAGTTGTACAATTGTAACATCAGATAAAACGTTTAATGCGAAAATAAATTTCACGTTGATCGCCGGACCTTGCAAGTTGGCCTACTTAACTTTAATGAGCTTAATGCAGAAATGAGTAATATAAAACAGGATGGAATGCGAACCCACGAAGGGTTTCGTACCATTTCATATTGTCACTTTCTTCAGCCTACCTTTAATAATGTTAGAGGAGGAAAGACAAGCATGAGGCGAAATACCCTAGCCATAAATCTAAATTAGACGCGCTGACTGCAACGGAAATCTACAGACTGAAGTGGAAACGCTAATAAACTTAGGGGTTTTTCAGATATTTCGATATTAGGTTGACTACCCATTGATCCAGATGAAAACGATGTTTCGGAAATGTTGGACCCGGTGGGGGTCTAAGCCACGACCCATTAATTATTAGCCCGTCACCTCCAAAAATCTTTATTCGCTGTCCAATCAGAAATTGTTTGTTTCTTTTATTCGTCATAGCGGAAGTAGAAATACATTAATTCATTGTTTGTGAAAGTTTCAACTCTTTAACTATTGCATTCCTGAAGATACAGTCTGAAGACATACAGACCGGTGGGCTTTCTTGTTTGTCTTTTTACAGAACCCTAAAAACAAGTTGATAATGAATGTTAAGGACCTACACTAATTCTTTTCCTTGCAAAATGTTTTCACTTAGTCTACAAGCCTACCTGGCTTATTTACCAGGTTTACTAAACTACAGTTCTTGATGATCCACTATACAAAAGGATAAACAAAATTATAATCGTTATATGTATGTATGTATATAAATGGTTTACTTACAGCGATTTCATCACAAGTTTTCTAATATCGAAATCAAACATGATCGTTGACCATAAGAGTTAATTACTCGTTAATTAGTCTAAGAGCTAAAAAAAATAAAATTTCCTTCCATATTGTTATTTTAAGAAAAGTATGTTTTCTGTTACATATACGATAAGTCATAGGTTTTTTTACTGATTTTAAACTTGGTAATGACGTATTTTTTGGTTTATAAACATATTTTTATGAAAATAGGCTTCGTAAAAATTAAATAAAACCAATGTCTTTACTATATTATCCATTAGCATTCAATTATAAAGGAAAATAATACTATTTGTTGTTAACACGTATGTTATTTACATTTCGCCTTTTAAACCGTAAAATTTCGTTTTATTTAAAGTGTACAACTGTATGTAAACTGTGTGTAAACTGGCGTACAGTACGGACAATAAATTAATTAAATAATAAATTAAATTTTGCGGTTTAAACTATTTTTTGTAATTTAACTCTTCGTGTACGTGGTATGTCGTATGACTCCTTACGTTTTGGTGTATGACAAAACATAGCCCATGGTTACAAGAAACCGGTTCGTTTCATGTTATTATTACTGAGAATGCGTAATAACTGAGCTTTAAGTGAACCTATCAAATTTACTGATGCAATTTTTAGTGGTACTGTTAGTCAATCGAACCATAACAGACATTAAAAATGTATTTAATAGAAAGCAAATAGCAAATGCGTGCTTATATTTATAAAAAAAATGAAAGGCCGTTTCCCCCTCGTGGGGCATGGGGCGAACACATTCCTGTGTCCGTTTCACTGATCCGATCTTTTAACGGGCAAGTACTTGATCAGACTTTTTATGTTTCCCTGGGATTCGAACCCAGGACCTCTCGCGCTTAACGCAATGCTAGTCAATACGTTTAACCATTTGGCTACAGAGGCGGTCATACTTATAGAACTATCTAAATTAAATCTTGTAAAAAATGTGTTCGTTGTTTAAGTAATTTAACTAATTCAATTGAAAAATAAATGTGTAAGACATTTATTTTTAATAACGGAACATAAATCTGTTTGAACTTAATATTGAAATAAGCTTTTAGAGATGCATCAATAGTCGTTATATTTTCGTCTGATATCATTTTAGACTGATGTTTGGACTAATATTTCACATTTTTGACCTGCTGTATCTACGTAGTATATTTAAAAGTAACGTACAAGATGAAGAAGAATGTAATGACTAATGATACCATAATGTTTTGTATACAAGATTGATATTTTGATAAGAGCTTCAATTATTATATTAAATAAAAAAGGTGTGAATTCGATTCATGAACGATGTCTTATTCAAATGAGATATTGTTATCGCGCTTTTAAGAATGTAATCGCCTTGTATGATTTGCATGACATAACTTGAACCAGTTTTTGACCTACGCACGATTGTGCCTACCAGACAGCGTGCATAATGTTATACGTATAAAAGCCAGCGTCTCTTACCAACAAGTACATTATCAGATAAGACACCATTAAACATGGCAGCTAAAGTAAGTTAAAGATATATTTGTAAAACGTATTGGATTTTGCACCGGTTCTATTTAAATACTGTCTGTAGTATACGCAATGAATGCCTATACATATAAATAAAACACTTTAACGGTTTGAAACGCGATAATATTAGTTAAAGTAATTTGAATTTATTTTAACTACGGCCCGACGGTTCGGATGCTTTGCACCCGTGGTCACCGGGAGACACATAATAAGTTTAACCAATACATATCGCACTTCTATTTGTTGGTTTCTATTTATCGCATTGGCATGAGGGTAAAAATAATAGCCGCGAAAATTACAAAAAAGTTTGAAGCTTTCAAATCATTGCGATTCAGATCATGTCACTAGGACAGTCACCCCTACTTAGAAAATGTGGAACTCCATTACAATATCATATGATTTTTATTTTTTCTTCTTCAATGCAATCTAAGCTTTTTTATATCTTTACAGTTCGTAGCCTTTTTCGCCATCATCGCAGCGGCCGCTGCTCTGCCCGTGGTTCCTCTCGCCAAAATCGCCTACGCAGAACCGGAAGCACCCGCCCATTACCAATACCAGTACTCGATCCACGACGGACAAAGCGGTGACGTCAAAGAGCAACAGGAAGCCCGCGAAGGTGATGCCGTACACGGATCTTACTCCCTCGTCCAACCAGATGGTGTCCACCGTATTGTGGAGTACACGGCTGACAAGGAGCACGGTTTCAACGCTGTTGTTCGGTACGAGGGTACTCCTATCCCCGCCCCTGTTAAGGCTGCCCCTGTTGCGTACGCTCCAGTGACTAAGCTCGCCTACGCTGCCCCCGCTAAAGTAGCATACACCTCCCCCATCTCCTACGCTGCCCCCGCTAAAGTAGCCTACTCTGCTCCCATCTCCTACGCTGCCCCCGCTAAAGTAGCCTACTCTGCTCCCATCTCCTACGCTGCCCCCGCTAAGGTAGCCTACACCTCCCCCATCTCATACTCCTCTCCCGTATACGCTCCAGTCGCCAAGGTAGCGTCATATGAAGCTTCTCTCGGTCACGTAACCTTCTCATCCCCGGCTGTCTCCTACCACCACTAGATTTGATAACATTGTTGTTGTTGTAAGTTGTTAAGTAATTTATTTATGTCGTTGATAAATTATACTTATTGATCAAGGATTTTTCGATTTATTATTTTACACTCACACGAATAAAAGAAACTGTAAATATAAATTTGAATGGACATTCAAAGATTATATTTTTACCAATTGATATCATTATTTTAATCATACGTAGAGGTATTTTTTATTTTAGATGACAAAAAAATTGTCATCATATTTTGAATGTCATTTATTAAGCTAATTCATCGATACTTGTTATTAACATCTAACAGGTCTGCAGCTCAGTGTTTTCGCTGCTCTTCGAACAAAAAGAATTACACAAGTAGGCGTCAAAACGGCGTATCCGATATCAAAACGTTATAAACGAAGTTAGAAGGCAGCGTGCGGGTAGTGTCGGGGAATCAATTGAATTATGTAACATTATGAGGCGAGTGGCTCCCGTTACTTCGCACGTCCGCTCCCCTCTGTCTCCATTTGACGCATTACTCCTGACACCTATTCATTCGCGTAGTTAAACTCGTGTAACCATCATAATTGGACCCTGTACTACTCTAAGTTTCAACCCGAGCTCGAAGTTGCGACGGCGCGCGGGTAGTTCTTAAACATTTGTCGAAAATGATTCTACCCGACTCGCAAGTAACGCTGTACGCCTCACAGATGATTGCAAATACAAATTGACAGAACTGATAGTAAAAGTGGTTGTTAGTACAGAGCGAGGGGCTTTTAAATGTGTGATGTGAATATTTAATTTTAAACGGGGTGGTGGAGATCATGCGTTTGTTGTGTTATACATTTTTGGTGGTAAACATATTTAAGACACATAAAATGGCTTTAAAGGCGTTTATTAAAAAACATATTTCATGTTATTAATATGTGTACATGTCTGTACTTTACGCGAATGGTACTTACGCGTTATATAAAACACGACGGTTTTAAACAACCAAGACTATACCAATGATCGTGGATACTGAGAAGCGTTCAAAAGGTCGGATGGAAATATTAAATAAATTTATACTTATATTATAAATCGAAAGAGTTTGTTTGACCGCGCTAATCACGAACTACTGGTTCGAATTGAAAAAAAAATAAAACCATTTATCGAGGAAGACTTTAGGCTATACCTATATACTATATATATTTGGCGGCAACCCATACGAGCGAAGAAATAGTGGGAAATGTGGAAAAATCAGAAAAAAAAATATTTAAGGGATTTGTGTGTGATTTGTTGTGCCCGTTTCCCCCTCGTGGGGCATGGGGCGAACACATATCTGTCTCCGTTCTTTTAAGGGGCAAGTTGATCAGGCTTCTGTGCCCTACCCGACCGAAACAGTTTTATGTTTTCCTGGGATTCGAACCCAGCAAGTTAACGCAATTCTAGACAATACGTTTAACCATTTGGCTACAGAGGCGGTCAATTTAAGGGATTTAGCCTATGCTTATCTTTTCAGATGAACTCACAAGAACTTTGTGAACTCATATGGCAAAAGAACGTTTTGGTAGGTAAGCTAGCGTTGAACGTGTTTTGTTACCTAAAAAAATGTTTAGTTTATAAACCACTTACCGCTGAATGACGTGAGTACCAAATGTTTTGATGAAGTTTTTAAACCGGCAACAAAGGGTTGAAACGATAATCCGAACATCGAGTGATGAAATATTACAAAGCACTCTTTATAGTCATTATAGGAGATATTAAAGCAAATGTTGCTCATAGCTTCCCTCGGGATTTTGCGAAGGGGTTTCCTTGTTGGGATTGAACCACTAAATGTATGTAAAATTAAATATATTTATAAGACGATATGTTTAGGTAAGATGAAAATAATGGATTTTCATAAAGCATTCGTTGAGTTTATTTATTTTGAAATAATTTTTCATACAAAAGACTTAACGTGGCAAATGATTACCTACGTGAAAGAATACTTACAAAGCTACGAATTCATTTCATATTATTTATATATCATGTAGCATAACTTTATAGACATCTATTTATGGAAAAGAAAAATGTGTTTCTGCATTTCAATATGAAACAATAAAAGAAAAGATCAGGTTCCCTAGAATATCAAAAACTAAATACTGTCTGTAGTTAATCTTGTTTAAAAAATATGTTTACCTACGGCCCGACGTTTCGGATGCTTCGCAGCAGCCATGGTCACGTTTTAAACCGTTAAAGTGTTTTATTTAAATAACAAAACTATTTTAACTCTGCTAAGTAAGATGACAAGTTTGACAGATTGTGCTATTTTTTTTTATGTTTGATACACATACCTAATATTACCCTATTGACGCCCACATAGTGGTTTCTCTGAACGAGTGACTATAATAAAAAATCGATGAGTAAATAAATATATGATAAAAAATATTAGAGAGAATAAGATATTAGAATGAAACGGTCTAAATACAATTATTTCTCCGTCCTGTTTATTTTCAGTCCTACCCGGACTTCACCTATTTACCCGTGAGAAGTATGTCTTGTACCTACATATGAATACACAAGGCACCTACTCTTTATTTCAACGTCCATAGAATAAAAAATCAGTAATGATTCATTCAATTTATTGATTTCCATTTTGTATTATATACTAAATGTTCATCATAATTCGTAAATAAGCATTAATTTGCAATTTTTTGGTCTGCGATTTTTTTATAATCAGATATAATAAGAGCAATGCACATTGCAATAACAAGTCTGTCAATTATAACGAAACATATAAAGCGAATAGATACGGCAATTACCAAGGCAGGAAGCAGAGCGCCTGCGTTCACCTAATTGTTTCCGTCGACTTCGCTCGTCTCCCTTTCCACCCCTGCCTCCCCGAATGCTGACTAAACGATGAAATATGAAACTCAGATGCTCGATTGGTCTTTGTTAATGTTTATCGACTTGTGTTACACGCCTCAATAATGTTATATTACGGTTGATTCTTCTGCATTTACTAGGAAGTAAATGTGGGAAAATGGATTGTCTAGGCGGAATTATGATACATAAGGTATAAATAAAACAAAACTGGTATGTTCACACTACTAGATATGAATAATATATTATAGTAACATGAAGACGAATATTGGGGTGTATTCTTTCTAGTAGGCCTTATTTTAAAAATACATTACCTTAATGAAATTTTGCTAAAACTAATACATACATACTATAATAATATAATGTTATAAGATAATATATACTAATATAATGTTATTTAATGTGTTAGGTAAGTAATTTAACAACAACCTTAGGTAAGTGGCATATTTGTTTCTTTCACTCAATTCACACATATTGCACATTAAATAGACCAGAAATCATTGAAACAACTGAAAATTGGAATAACACGAATCGTTCGTCATAACACAAACTAAACGAAATATGTATTTGCCTATTTATAAAATCCGCACGTACGAATATCGAATATCATAACGAGTGATCAATCCGTAATTTGGCAACATTTGATCAATGAAGTCGTAACAATGTCAACATTTTTCCAGCAATCCGATACGGGTCATCCGGAAGCGATATGCACGGACAAAGCCGAGTGCTCGCATTGTGCGATGGCGGAGGCACGTGCTCCGAACGTGCGCTGCTATTGTGTCCATACGACTCCACGAGAGATTGCTATTTAGTTCATCAGGCGTATTATTTTTAAGAGGTGACGTGTACTTTTTTGAATAGCACATTTATCTGTGAATAAACAAAAATATAGAGATCTAGCTGGAAATAATGTAATTGAAAGCAATGGTGAAAATTCCACAGTGCTGTTTTTCACGTAATGTTTCATTATTACAATTTTGTAAAAAAGATATACATCATTAAGATTACCTTCGAATTGTATAGTAAATGTTAGTATACTTATATAAGACATATTCCTCTAAACCATGTCTAGAAAATTCAGTCCATTATAAAGTTATTCCAATAATTGTTTAAATATTAAATGATGTTAATGCTTTTTACGTTTTGCCTCATTTTGAAAAATGAACACAGATTGATAGTCGTGTTCTGATTTAGGGCTTTGTTTAAAGGTTATAATGGGGTATCAAACCGAAATCTGGTATAACATTTTTTTTAAGTAGATGTCGGTTAAAAAAAAAGTTTTGATATTAGAGACGATATTCGTCTCTAATGTCAAAACTATATATAATATAAACTAATAAGACACTTTTTTTAAATCTATATAATGAAAGAATTTGATAATGGTTATACCACATTTTTCTTACAAAGATAAAAGCTAACTTCCCAACAATCGCTAATAACGCAGCGACGGTAGTTTTCAATTCAACAAATTCAATGATTAAATAAACCGTCATATTTACTGCAGTATACGCACAAAACTATTAATTAATATTCCCTTTGACGACTCCATTTGGGAGACAACTGACAAATAGAAAGTGCGCAACCCTTCATTAGGCAGCCTAATGATTTGCTAAACACTCCCTTCTAGGTATTCCCTCGACATCTGCTTTGTTCGAGACCAAAATCTATTTAATGATATCGTATTGCTAATTTTGGGATTAGGCGCGCGTTCCGTCGGTTATTGAATTATTCCGTTTGCGGGGGCTTCCGTGTCCCTTGGGGCGGAATGCGCAACGCTCGTAAATACTTTCGCCAAGGTATTTTCGCTCAATAGCTAGGAAAAAGAACTTAGAATTTAAATACGTTTGTTAGGAACTTAGTATTTTAACGCGAAATACCGTTTTCCTACGTCGGTTGCGTCGGACACATCTGTGTTCGTTTTACTGATAGATTATTCTGCGGAATGACTGTTCTAGCGGAATGACACATATATAATGTAATTAAAATTCGATTGAAATGGAAAAAAATACGATAAGTGCGTGACTATAACCGGCATCTACGACGTTCCTTGGTACTGCTGTAAGTAATTGAGCTACAGTGTCTTAAACGTCATCGTCGCATTTCTTAACGCATTAATACAAATAATGGCGCAAAAACTCTGGCGCAATCAAATTTCTAACTTGATGCTTACACATTTATTAAGAAGAAATAACGGAGATTAACGCTTGAAATTCACTCTCAATCACATATCGACATTCACATAATCAAATTAAAGATAATATATAATCTATTTTATTGTGGGTATTACCACTAACCTTTCTGGTAGAACAAGACTCTCGAACAGAAAGGTCACAAAATAATAAACTAAATACACCTACACGAAATTCGTCGTCTTTGCTAAAACCAATATTTTACCGACTTTCACGAGTTAATGAAGCGAATATGACATTGATGATTGGTGATAATTGTCTTGGAGCTAGACAACGGTCATGCATCAGCTCGGTGGGTCATGAGGAGCTACTCAATTAAGAACTATTCAGTATCCCTGCTACTTATAGTGTGGGCATTGAAACGTCATTCAAAGTCCACTTTGACGTTACAGAAATGTGTCATAATAGTTTCATAAGATAATAAATAAGTGACTAAGGCAATTACACATTTTCAAATAGCCTTAAGAAATACACGCCCTTAGCTAATAAGTAAAATATGAAGTGATTAGACAAAATGAGCTTACATAAAACTTAACAGCTTTTAAATACGAAATATTCTTCTTGATTTAAAACCCTTAAGTGTATTTATTTCCATAGACAACAGCATTGTAAGTCTGTAGTTTACCGGAGTGCTTAGTCCTTATTTAAATAAAACACTTTTAACAATTTAAATCGCGAAATATATTAGTAAGTAGTAAACGCTAGTAACCACTGGTTAGCTAAACAACGATTATTAGTAAAATATTTTGAGTTTCAAACTGTTAAAACTGTTCTATTTCAATACTTTAAGTATTCTATTGTAGATCCAGTACCTGCTGTTGTTAATACTATATCCACACTAGGACCTCTCGAATCCAAAGACGCTCCCTACAAACCCACATTAATGTTATTATTTGGCAACATTTACTAAATAATTTGCTCGTTAAACGCCGATCCGCGCCCCTAACTACGGTATTGTGCCAGCTCCCTCGGGTAACTGCTTACTGGATTCAACCAATCCCGAACATTAATTACTTCGCCGTCTTTGTGTCGTATTTGTGGCAACATGCTCTTTTGTGCTCCACCAAATTAATAACGAGCGGAGGTGGATTAGAAAACTATCGTCGAACTCTTATAAGTAGCTTTACAACTGCACTACGGTATATTAGTTTTAGATCGAGACAGCGTAATTTTGTTAAACTTAAGGCTTCTTTGTTGTATCATTAATAATATTTATAATTTGTATTAGCCTTGTTTTGATTAAACTATGTATGTATATACTTTTTGTATCTGAAAAGAGGTTTATAAACCCTAGTTATAAAAGAATAACTATTATACGCGGACGAAGTCGCGGGCATAGTATTTTATAATTTTAAATGAACGTATAATTTATTATATTTACTTAAAACCGTTGAATGTATTTTATTTAAATGTGTACTTACACGCATAAATTGACAGTTCAGAGAGACACTTCTTATTTTTGAAGTTTTTTGTAGAAGAATTTAATCTATACAGATATTTTAAGAAGGTATTGATAATCTCTTTCGTTTATTGAATTTTATGACCTCTTCTTGTGAAGGTAAATAAAATAAAAAAAATCTCTGTAAATGTTTATAAGTATTTATATAAAAAAGGTATTTGAGGTTACTTACCTACCTATAGATGGATATAACACAGTACAAATTCCCATTTATACACAATGGTAACATGGAAGTTGTACAATAAATCGGTTGCGAATTATATGTAGTATTTGCGACCGAACAAACAGAAACCAAAATACCGTACAATGTGCGTATATCTATCTAATTTGCATCAAATATCAGTCTGCGAATTGACGAACACAAGCAAGTTACTGTTACATGATGTATGTAAATGTTGGCAATTATTTTCTCCCTATATCTACATATTGCAGGGGTTTATCGTGGAGGTCTTTGGAAAAGAAGTGAGTAAATGTACCTTCACATAGAACACACATTCTTTTAGGCTGCTATAAAATGTTTACTTTCATTTTACAAGAACAAACTAAAACCCACTCATAGATTTATGAAAATAAATTTATTAGTCTTCATACATACCAGTTTTACATACAACAATCTTTAATACAATTTGGGGAGTTTTAATAACTGTCTTGTAAATAGAAACGATCGTTAAGACGGACACAGAAATATATCTGCCACATGCCACGTAAGAAAACGGATTTTTTAAATTAAATTGGGGTTATGGTAAATAAAAAAGTCTATCTTTGGTATGCCCTGCACAAATGTTGCATCTATATTAAAAAACAAACAATTCAATTGTAAACAAATCGAAACAACATTGACCGGCTTTGAGTATTTAATTAATAAACTAAATTATATATAGACTTGAGAAGTATATTAAATTGTATATTTTATAAAACAAAAACAACACTCGAAATAAAACATAAATTAAAAGTCGTTTTCAGATTTAAAAGATATCCGACACGGGATGGATCCACAGCGTTCCGTGCTGTTGCTCTAACCAACAAACACGGTAACTCAATTGTGAAAGCAACAACAACGCTGTGGATACCAGTTCAAGTTCAATCAAAAATCAAATTCTTTAAACAAAAAAAAAACATTTTCGCGTCTATCTACCGCTTTCTGGTCACTTGGGCTGTCATCACGACGTTCAATACAAGTTGAATATATGCGTCGCATCGATATTAACGAGAGCCGTCTCGTTCCAGTACTCCTCAGAGAGACACCATTTCATGCCATCAATATTGTTCCACCATAGCCTAAACTTCTCTTTAGCCGGCACGCGGTTATCCTCTTTATGTATGGCTTCGCAAAGACCGCACAGGGGATGATTTTCACGAGCATCAGATTCGACGGTGTACAAATTAGTCCATTTGAAGTACGTTTCATAAAGGTTGGGATCTTTTATGGCTTTGTACATGGCGAAGGCTAAATTATACGGGTGCATCTCCCGTGCGTTTATGTAGGAACCGGGCGGGAGAAACCTGAAAAGGGTTGACTTTATACTTTTCGTGTATTCTAGGCTCGGTAGGATATTTAGGTTTTAGATAGAAAATAAAATGACTAAATACTTAGGTAAGCGTAACTTCTTAAACTAAGAAAGCTTAGCTTAGAAACATTCGTTTCGACATCATTTATAAGCCACGACACATTATTTTGGTGAGTATATTATTTGTGGCAGCGTTACATAAATAAATATACATGTTGAGGTAGTAGACACTTGAATTAATAGACCGACTAGTAAGAGCTTAAACGTATAAATCTTTAGGGACTTTTTTTTCGTAAGTACCTTAGGCAATATAGGTAGTTATTTATTGTACTGTACAGTAGGTACATATATCTCTACGTAAATATTTACTACTCGCGTAATCTACAGACAGATTATGCGAGTAGTAAATATGTGTTTGTAACACAGTTTTACTCATACATTTCGTATTTTAAGCCGTTAAAACTGTTTATTGAAACATTTTATTGTTATATTTTTGTAGCAATGTGTCCTATAATGTAATAACCTATGGTAACTCCTATATATTATTCAGTATAGATTACTATAGGCGTGAGAGGTTCTGGATTTGAATTCAGTCAGGATACGGAATGTACTGTAAGTAATTAATCTTTGAAGCAACACATTCATGTTTTGTTCGCCCCATACCCTAGGTTTTCACTAGCTACTTCTGGTACCTGCTATAATTTGCTCCACCATAAACAACTGGCACAGCGTAGTTATCGTAGCCGTGTAAAACCTTCTCCGTAACGTAATCAATGGAGAACGAGTTTTCAAATGCCATATAAAAAAAGTATTCCTTTAGCATCTCCTCGCAGTTGCCATTTGGACAAACATTTTGCGAACACTCGCCGTAGACATCGATTCTCAATGCGAAATGGAATAGGTGTTCTTGAAGCCTTGTTAAATATTCGTCTCTGAAGCTATCAGCTTGGCAATGGCTTACGAGCCAGGCTGCCGCTTTCTTCTTCCTTCCAAGAAATGTCTTTATTTTCTGATCGATAGGAGCTACATTCGTCTGCCACGCCGCAGTGACGCTGGGGGCTACGATGTGTCCCGTAAGATTCCTCACAACAAAGTAACTCCACGTGAAATCCGAGTCGAGCCGATATGTTAACGTCCAATTGAAGAATTCGTCGTTGTTCACGTCACACGCTGGTTTATTATACGACGATTCTAGAGAATTGAATACGTATATCTGTGATTCGCTGCGGCGCATCGGTCTGTCTGTACTATCTAGGATATTTTCGTCGAAAATGATAGCGGAAAACTCAGTAATATCGCCCATGTAATTCCTGTCTTTCGTGAAGAAGCAGTTGGCAAAAGAACAGTTCTTTACCTCGTAAAACTCTTGCGATATGTAGTAATCGCTTTCCCAGATTAGAATAAACTTTATATTGCCATGTAATCGCGAATTTTCTCTGTGTATTGCTACAGTAAAAATGTTATTCACATCTTGAACCAACTCGTTCATGTATTCAAACAACAGGATATGTGCCAAAACGCAAAATGACGCCAGGATAAAGATCCAAGCTATGGATTTTCGAGAAAACCTTGCTACCTTTACAACGCATAGCATTTTGTAGTTCTACAACATATATATTGGTATAATAATATAAAATTTTATGGAATACTGTTTAAGAATATATATTACTCATAAAATTACTAACAAAACATTCTGCTATATGTGATTATGTCGCTCAGTTGCGATTTTGACATAACATGTGTAATGAATATCAGTCAAGAATACAGGTTTAATCTTAAGAAGTAAAAGTTTAATTTACATAGATAATTAATTACATTTTAAAACTTTAATATTGTTCACATGTTGCACACGAAGGCACTTGAATTAAAGATCGATTATAGATTTAAAAAAAGGAACGACACGGGCACGACTTGAATCATAATCTAATATAGATTTTTATTTAATAACATTTTTAATTCGATCTACTAATAAAAGACTTCACTAAGTTTAATTTAAAAAAAATGCACTTATTTTTTATAATTTATTTAATTAAAGCAGCCTTTTCCCTATTTGCCAACAGATCTAAAAAGGAGCTTGACAATTAAAATCCTCTTTATTCGCAACCAGTTATTTGTTTTAATATTAAAAACCAAATATTTCTTGATAAAATGTAAAATTAATCACCCATAATATTTATACGCTCGAACTTTGGGCCATTACGACTGCAAAAATAATTACTTTTTATTAATAGTCACTTTCAATTCAACGTACCTGTAAAGTTTTTCAATTCATAAATAAATCCTCATATATACAACTTATAGGAAGTTATATGTATGAAGTTTACTAAGTATAAAAAACATCATATAATGTAATTCCCCGGATACAAGCGGAAAAGATTTCCCAAGTAGTTCCTAAATTCGCGTGGGAGTTTGACCCAGATCCTAAACCTTTTATGTGGTATAGGTGGGCATCATCTCTGAATTGAAGATTAGAACAGACAATGGTCTTTAACATTCAACTAATCCGAGATTAAGATCCTATCAGCTCAGGACCCTGTAAACACTTGACGCGCAAATACAATTCATGCCTTGCTTTAGGAGCTAAACTAATATTAACCGTGAAAGGAAATCTATTGATTTATTCTACGGTCAAGGTATCAGAAAGGTGACAAAGGCTTATCTTTAAACATTCAAACAAAAATCAAATAACACAACTGATGTAAAGTACCCTAATACCTACTTACATGTTTTATTTTATATGCTACTACTATATAAAGTACGTAAAATCCTGTTTCCCTTCATGGGGCGTGGGGCAACATTTTTTGGGTCTGTTTCACAGATCGGTGACTAGCATAAACTACAGACTAATTATTTGATTAATGCACTAATATAGGTACCAACTATTTGTTACGCCGACAGCAAATCCATTGGTTGAAGTTAGTAATTCTAATTAAATTGTATTTAAACTATAACAATTAGAGTTCAGTAGTTCTGTAATTTACAAGACATAATCGATTTTAAGAAAGAATTTCCACACTTACTTTCGGCTTTGTATAACACATTTTAAAAATAGTAAACCAGCTCTTAGACTGCCCGTACAGTTATTTTGAAGTGTTGAAAAAATATCGAGAAAAAATACTGTCCATCATGACGAGCCGTCATAGAAGATTTGATTCATTGTGTTCAGGAACAGTTATTGTTGGCAAAATATACATTGTTGACAGCATGCGTCCAATGGACGGACAAACCTCTTTTAATTCAATTAAACGTAGACAAGATTGGGTGTGAAATTCGAGTGACCGCAGATGGCCGGATTGTATGATACAGGTATTATAAAGATTAATGTTCAGCTGGTGTTAGCTGGTAGGAAGCAGGTTTTAGTTGCAGGCCCACGATGCTGTATACTAAACGATTCCAATTAAAACTTGTTTTGTTATGATAACATAAATGAAAAGTATATATTTAAATATCAGGTTGTACTGGTGGCTAAAATTACATGAAAATTACTTATACTTGAGATATTGCTCACTTTTATATACTTTGAAATAAGCAATAGTCGCGGTTGGAATATCATACCGTAACTTCATTTGAAAGGAAGTTTGGAAGAATTTCAAATTCTATACCTACTAATATTTTAAAGCTAGAGAGTTAGTTTGTATGAATGCGTTAATCTCAGGAGCTACTAGACCGAATTGTTCTTAATTCTTAATAGAAAAAGATTTGTATGTTGGATGATTTATCGAAGATGGCTTCAGGCTATAAAACATGCTGCTATTAGTATGAGCTAGTCCACTGGAAATGTGGAAAAAAACGGGGAAAAAATATTCATCTTAGAAGGTTTCCGTAAGTGCGCTGTGAAAATCCAAATACATATCATATTATCACATAATTTGATTCTATGATTGAATGATTCCTGTAAAAAAATCCGTGACAGTATATAGTACGTAGAATATACATACGAATTGTACCTTTAAGTTAAAACCCTCTTTAGCCAACTGGCTAACTAACTAGTTATCACATTGTTTCTTACTATTTTTAGACTTCGTAATCTAAAGTACCTATTTATATGGTCAGTCCTTTATCTTTATTATTTTGATATCGAAAAGTACCTAATGACTAAAAGTACTTATAATTTAAAAATCGAAAATAAATTGAAAAAATTTTCGACTCGGGCAGGACTTGAACCGGCTCGTCAGCTGAAATCGTCAAAAAATTTTTTTCAATTTATTTTCGATTTTTTAAATTATATAGTGCCTTCATGTGCAATAACATGTGAAAAATATTAATGTTTTCAAACGTTATAACTTTGTAATTTCATCTTCAATGATTTCTTAAGCTGCAAAGGATAAGACATTGAGCCTTAATACGTCAAGTGTTAAGGTAGAAATTACATTGCGCTAGAGGTGCATTATCAATAGTAGTGAAAAAATCGACATGAGGTGTAGGACTCGGTAGCTCAATTGGTAGAGCACAGCACGGAAAGCTGACTGCCGGTTCAAGTCCTGCCCGAGTCGAAAATTTTTTCAATTTATTTTCGATTTTTAAATTAATAGTGCCTTCATGTGCAATAACATGTGAAAAATATTAATGTTTTCAAACGTTATAACTTTGTAATTTCATCTTCAATGATTTCTTAAGCTGCAAAGCATAAGACATTGAACCTTAATACGCAAGTGTTAAGGTAGATTAGGAAGGGTATCATTGCGCGAGAGGGGCATTATTAAGTTGAAAAACTCACGATGATGTGTAGGACTCGGTAGCTCAATTGGTAAGCAACGCACGGAAAGCTGACGATGCCGGTTCAAGTCCTGCCCGAGTCGATTTTTCATTTATTTTCGATTTTTAAATTATATAGTGCCTTGTGCAATAACGTGAAAAATATTAATGTTTTTAAAAGTACTTAGTCCCGCTTATTAAACAAAATACAGAAAAAAATAGAAACAGTGTTGCCATCAACAAAAATTTAATGAAAAACTCGAGTACAAAAACCAGACAAAACGCTTCCCAAGGGTTAAAATTTAAGCTGTTTAAATATTTATGTACTATTTACGTATTGACAAAACAGAATAATTCGACAGTGGAGGCACAAAGGCGGGCATTGTTCCACCAAATGTTTTTATTTCACGAGCACTCAGCTTCCGTGACCAAATGGGAATTAATCTGTGGATTTTAAGAGCCATTGTAACTCATTGAACTGTGTCAATATTGAGGCTGGACTGTGGAGGGTGCTTGGCGTAATTTCTTTATAATTTAGGGCCATTATCGCCGGATTACTCTTAAGTATTTAATCGAATGTGTAATTTTGACTTTCATTACTGTCTATTGTTGGGAGTTCTCATGCATAAGTATATTATTTTTTATTTCTAAGTAAATAGGTACTACTCCTTAAATAAAATAGAAAAAATGTCTTTATTGTAAATTAAAAATAAATTTTTAAAAAATTACGACTCGGTCAGGGCGTAATTTTTTAATATTCGTATTTTTTAAATCTATTTTTATTCATGTGCATAGCGTATTTACTAGTTGCTAAAAACATACCCTGCTTATAATCTTTGTATTTGGTAGGAATATACATGTATAGAACACACAGGTTTGCTTGTCTATTTACTATTCTTTATAATAAGAATTTAAATTTTGGAAAACAAGACTTATTATGCACAAAGAAGTCATGTTAAAATATGTATCTATCTTATAGGTCTCTGTGGCTCAATGATCAAACGCATTATGTTGCTTGTAAAACTGTAATTAAAATCGATTCACAAACAACTTTAATGAAATCTTTAATTAGGATACGATTTTGCAATAAAGATTTGATATAATTACATTAATAGAGAAAGCTAAATTTTGAAAGCAGTGGTTAACACAAACATTTGCAGTCCATAACCAGTAGCGTGAAGTTGGAGAGGTGCACAAAGGAGCGGAAGCAAGTAATCCACTTAGCGTCTGTTAATCCTGGCCTGTCATTGTTGCCCGAGTGGTTAATTCGATCAGGCTGCGCGTAGCCCGTAGCCAGACCGTACATTATTCATACGGAAATGAATTGCGACGATACCGCTCTGATTTGTTTCGCTTCATTTCACACTCGCGTTTGTTTTTTGTGAATAATCCATAAGAAGATCATTATTATTACACTATATATTTTCTTACCTAGCATTTTTGGTAAAAAACACACAATTTACGTAAAAAAGTGATTTTCGTACAAGGTTTACATTAATTCACCCTAAAAACACTTTGAGACACATGAACTACCTACCTCAAATGTACTTAGTAAAAACCACAATTTCATGCTAAAATTAATAAAGATCGTAGAAATGAATTTATGTAAATACACGGATTATATTTTTTAGTTTGACATTTACATAAGGTTGGGACATAAGCAAAGTCAATGACAATAGAAGGTATAAGTCCCAGTAAGGCACGAACGCTGCAAAGCGTTACAAACGTCGAGTTAAATTTCATAAAAATTTCAAAAAGATCCATATATAATGAATATTTCTTTAACCCAGTGTATCTGTGGCAACGATGCACTCTATAAAAGGGCATCACTAGTTCTCTATAGTTTGAAATCGGCCATTTTTGTTGTAGTCTTCTGTAAAATAAGAAAAAATACACTAT